CCATCAGCCCGCAGGGCAGCGTCACCGTTACCTTTGCTCTCCGCAACGGCGCGCTGACCTGGTCGAACCCGGCTTTCTTTGGCGGCCAGGCTGGGTTCTGCCAGGATACGGCAGGCCAGGTGTATGCTACCTTTGCTGACCCGACCGTGTCGTACCCAGCGAACTGTGCTCCCGTTCAACTCGGTCCCGTTGTTGGTATGTTTCCACCTTTCTGCTTATTATTTGTTCCGTACGGATGGAAGCTGTGAGACGCATAGTCACTAACACCAAAAAAAAAGCATCCACTTGTGGAAACACCGGCGGCACCACCACGGCGTCCGGCAGCGTTACCACTGTCGCCAGCACCATCGTCAGCACCGGCCCGGGCGGCAGCCTGACCACGACAGTCAGCAGCTTCACCACGACCGCCGCCCCGCCGTTCACGGTGCCGACGACATCGGCCGTGGCCAACGGCACGCTCACGCTCCCGCCCGGCCTGTACACCGTAGCCGGTTTCGCTAACCCGGCAGGCGCCGTCTGCTCTATCGTCTCTGAGTCTTGGATCATTGGGCAGACGACGTTGCTTTCCCCGCTTGCGACCGGCTCGGTCTAGTATGGGTTCCTTGTCCAGGGCAGTTTTCGATAAGCCATTGATTAGAAGGTCTTGGAAGGCTGAGGTACCTCGAGGGATATACTCTTTGGGGTACGGAGTACGGATAATTGGATGCATGGTGTTTTGACAGGGGAAATTTTGAGGTCATATCTGAACACATTACATTAATAGAAAGGTTAACCAAAAAGTCAACGACATTACTTGGCCTAGCCATTTTGAGAACGATGCGGCAACGCGGCCTTGGATTGATTGTCCCCCGGAGAATTCAACCTTATCACCTCGAATCTTTGTCTAATTGGCTTTGGGGAAATGATGCGGCACGTCATTATGCAGGGCGCGGCGCTGCTCTTCTTATCTTGCCTCGTTTGATGCCGCGCTGTCACGGGCTTGTTCACGTCTTTCTGAACTCTGCAGCGTTGCATTTTCTCACGAGATAAGGAAATAGTTTGATCAGCCCGTGAACGGTCAGTCAGTCAGTCAGTCCCCCCTCGGCGGCGGACGGACTTTAGATATTGAATGTTGGCGGGCGATCTTAGCGAACAGACAGTAAATACGGATAACCAGGTAAGGATAAGGATAGGTAGAGAGAAAAGCAAGAAAAAGGGCAGCAAACTGGTGGTGCGGATTAGCCGTGATTCGCGCCCGCAAGGATGTTGCTGGTGGTGGATGCTTGTGAAGCTCAATCTGGGGGAGAAGAGGGGGGAGGGTCAATTTGGAGGGGTGAGACGTTCTGGGAGAATGTCACATACACTATCTGTACATTGTAGGGCAGATGCTCATAGTGGTGCTTTACATCCTGGATAAGCCGGTGTCGATGTTGATTGTTGGTTGAAACTGAGTTCCCGTCTTGATATTGCTCTGAAGAACTCGAGTCATCGTGTTAATTAAAAGTAGAAACTCTCACCCCGCTGTGATCCCCGTTACTCGCGTCATCTGGTTTACAGACGGCAAAAACAATCCGAGGAAGGCAAGTATTAGCTGAAGTGTCAAGGTATGGATACTGAATCAGCGACGTGCGTGAAGCCCGAGGAAGTTGCAGACCACGAGAACTTGCCATTGCAAGAAAGAAAAAAATACGGAGTACCCAGTACGGGTCACGGCATCAGGAAAGAGCGAGAGCAACTAGTAACAACTGAGCTGATTGATCTGCCCGCAATCAAACCTTCTTTTCGCGTGCTGCAACTTGAGCTGCAACTTGCCTCACTCGCATCAGTGCCCACGTCGAGCCGAGTCGACAGATTTTCTTCTTCCTCGGCCGGACCAGCCGCTGACTGACTCTGGCTTCTCGCTCGCTGCTGCCAGCCTGCCGGGCGAATTCGCTATCAGTTCCAAGACATCCAATCCAATCCAGTCCAATCCCATCCCACTCATCCCACCACCACCACCCTCAAAATGGCGTTGGTCCATGCCATCCACCACCCCAAAAGAAAGAGGCCCCAACACCCAACCACCACCACCACAAACCCAGTCAGTCAGTCGTGCCAGTTCCAACACCACCTGGTGAGGTTGGTTACCAGCACACCTTCAGCTTTTTCTCGGGGACTTCAGGGTGACGCCAGAGACACAGCATCTTGCAGAATCGACAATCAGCAACCTCGAGGTCTGAAGCAATGCCACCACCCTCGTTTGCCAAGGTCCGCCCGCCGCGCCTAACCCCGAGAAACTCTGATATCGAAAAAATGTCGGAAAGGCAGATGCAAAAGAGTGCGAGGTGAGAGTATGAGAGAGATACATACCTCCCCTCACTTCTCACTTCTCTCTATTCGTAGAAACTAGAACACGAAAGATATGTACGCAATCCATGGCCTGTGCATCGCCAATAGCTCCCTCTTGATTGCTTGCCGGCAAAGAGCTGCGACGAATGACGACTCTTCGAAACCGATGGCATCAAAGACCATCGCATCTAGACAGACGCCAAAAAAACAATAGACGACGGTTCGGAGAAAGAATCTGGGCCCAGGCCATCGATTGCAGACCGGGGGGACCAGGGGATGGCTGCTCTACGCTACGCTACCACTACCAGGGGGGGGGAATGGGGGAGCCTGGTAGGAGGCTAGGGAACAAGTCACAACTATGATGCATTGGGTCACGTTGCGTTGGATCGGATCCTGACACTCGACTCACTGACAAGGACCCTTCCACCAGGCTGGGCACCCCACCACCCCCTTTGGTCTGGGCAAGGTCACAGTCTGTCAGTCTCTCACTCTGTTCAGTCTTTGCTCCCCCCACCACCCACTCTCCGGCCGGGCCAAGAACCCCGTCCGTTGGTCCCAGACGCTGGCAGCACGCTCGCCGCCTTGTTTGGGCTTGACAAGCCATGGCGGCGGTCCCGCCAGGCATGATTGGCGTTCCCACGGTTCCGCCTTATCGAGCCTGTGAGAAGCTCCGGAGACACGGTGACACGGGTGACACGCGCACTCGGTGGAGGGGGGGGGACCCTTATCAGAATCTGCAAGACGGCGGGTGCGGATTTGCAGCTTGCCCTGCTTCTTGCAGTAGCTGTTACTGCTTGCTGCAATCCTTCCCACCGCCCAGCCCTTGCCATCACCATCCCAGGTTCTGCTAGTCCCAGCAGCACGCCGCACGCGCGACACTGGCGCTGGCGCGAGAAGCACGTCGACCGGGGGGTTGTCTGTCGGTATGTGTCTGAGAGAGAGAGAGACAGTAGGAGAGAGGGCGAGGAAGAAAGAGACGGATAGACGGAGAGACATGCATGGAGGAAGAGAAAGAGAGAGAGAGAGAGAGAGAGAGAGAGTGTGTGTGTGTGTGTGTGTGCTTGTGCGTCTCCGTGTATCTCTTGCAAATGCATCCAACCACTGGCGTCACCGCGGCAAGAGATAGACAGGAGAGAGGAGCCAAGAGAGGGCAGAAACAACCAACCAGTGGTGCCATCCGACCCGATGATACGGATATTAGGGTTGATATGGCGGTAACATGCGGTATACCTCACCTTTAGCTCACCCACATGCATCAAGCCACCAACAAAAAAACCGGCGCAGCAAGAAAGGAGATACATGACACTTCCAGGTTGGGTTGGGGGGTGAGGTTTCTAGAGTGACGGTCATGGCCTCCTGGTCAAGAATCATAAGAGACAGAGGGAAAAAACAGTAGCGATACCTATTACCAGTAAGCACCCCCGGTTCGAGCTGAAGGAAAAGAGACCTAAAGTAGCTTGGCTGTGCCGTACGTCTAACGTCTAGCGGCGGAGGTACTTCGTTTCGAAGCTTGGTTTGAAGGAGGTTCCCATTCGCACGCGCACACGACGACAATCTTTCTCTCTTTTTTGCCCTTCTCCCATGCCCATCCCGATTCCCCATCCATCCCATGCTCCATGCTCGTTGCTCATTGATCAGTGCTCGCAGCTCTCTCTCTCATCTATCCCCGGGCCTGTCCAGTCCTGTCCAGCCCACGCCTACCGATCCTACTTAACCAAAGTCCACCCACTCTTCAAAATTTTCCTTTTCTCTGCAGATTTTTAAGGTCCCAAGCCTTTTTCTTTTTCATTTCCCACTTATTAGTCTTCCCATCTTGCTGGACGAAGGAACGGGGGTCAAGTAACAAAAGTAACAAATACCACGAGACCCTTCTTACTCTCTATTTAATCCTTTCCGAGCTTTGTTTCTTCCCTCTTCCCCCTGGCTTCTTTCTTCATCAAGCCCCCTTCACCAGCCACTTTGGGACGGGATCCCCGACGACGGGTGCGCGGGCGATTCATCTTATAGATACCTGTCTGTGTGCAAGTCCAACGGCCGACTCAAACCAACAGACACAGTCCAAGACCCAAGGACCACAGACCTTGACCAGACCAACCTTACCGGCGATAACCACCATACTACTAATACCCAAGGGCATAACGCAACGGCCACCAACAACTCTGTTCCCTGAACATTCCAGCCACCCCCAACGCCAACGCCAAAGACACGAACGAACGACGTATTTGGGGCCTTCTTTGGACGACCTGGCCAGCCCCGGAGGATATATAGACGATAGACGGAACCCATCGATCCATGTTGCAGCCCCTCTTTCCGTGACAGGGTCCTCTCACGTCTTTCACTCTACGACCTCACGAGACCACCATCCATCTTGAGCCTTCGCGGCCCTGTCGTATGCTGCTTGTTCCCGCCCGGCGCTTACTATCGTCTGTCGCCAGCTGCCGCCACTAAGAATTCAACCAGCCCCAACTCTCCAATTTCCAACCACCCCCGAGCCGGCGTCTTTTATTCCCTGTTACCGGCGGTTCTCCCTAGTCTTGACGGCAAACCCGCCCCCGACAAGACAAGACGTATCCGTACAATTGCCCGCCTAATAAGCGACTTATTTCTCCTTCCAGGATCGGACAGCCAACAACCAAACTGGGTCGTCAAGTCGACTAGACCAACGGGCCAATAAGATGGATTCACCACACCACATGGGCATTCGCGAGCTCAATGTGAGCAACTGGCACTCTCACAATGCCCTTACCGATACCTTCAATCATGCGGTCCCCGCCATCAAGACAAGCGCAGGTAAGAGCTAGCACGAATTTTCTTCTACCCTCATTTGCTTTCTCGTTACGTCTTCCCTATCTTTCTGCCCTGCGGCTCTTTTAAAATCATTTCTTCTTGGCCACCTATTCTTCAACGTTACCTTTCCTCTCATCTTGGCATTCTCATTCAACCTCACTTCGTGTTGTGTGTCTCTTTCACGACTCACTCATACGCCTACATCAACCACCCCCCCCCCCCCCAACATCGTCATCCAGTTCATCCAATCTCATTTCCCAACGCTCCGGCAGGGCCGTTTGGGGATCTGGCTTTTTTTCAGAACGTGCAGCAAAAGCGCCGAAAGTTTCGGCCACGCCCACGGCTATCGGCCTTTCGGTGCTCTAGAACCAATCCAGAAGAGGACGTGGAACACGAAAATCTCATCTCAACTATTGACAAGCTTTTCATCCTGTCTGTCACAACCTCGCAACTCACTGCACCTGACCACATCTCACTTTTTTTCTTTTCACGTGGCTTCCATCAATGCTCTCAACTTGGACTCGGGTATCACGACGAACGTAAACTGACCAGTTTGTCCAGCCTTCTTCACATTTCTCCGCGCCAACTTGGTTCTGAACCCATCCGCCATGTCATCCAACACCAACACGCCCGTCCTTCAGCCTACTGTGGCTTCTAACACCCATCGCCCGGCAGCACCATCTCCGCTGGCAGCCTCTCAGACCCTCGACCCCTTTGACGACATCCCTCCCCTGTCGCTTGAAGTCCTCTCCACCCGCGAGGACAAGGCCGAAGCCCTTCACCTCGTGGCGGACTCCATCGCTCAGCAGCGCCAACAGGCAGCCTACTCACTCGTCTTCCACCCCGTGCCGCTCGCAGGTCTCACAGCGACCCTCGGCGTTGCCTACCAGTACTCCTACGCCAGCAAAGGCGACATCGGCATGGCCTTCACGCTCTTGAGCGGCGTCATCATGACCTACCTCCTCGCCATCCGCTGGGCAACGAGCGGCTACCTGCCCCTAGCCGAGCAAATGTCCTGGTCCTTCATCCGGCCCCACCCAGACGCCTCCGCCGACGAGGAGGACCTGGTCCTCGGCACCCGCTTCGGCAACGAGCTCGTCGGCGCCCTGGTGCTCCACCTCGAGCCCGCGAGCCCGGCCGTCGCCTCGACCTTTAGCAGCCGGCGCCGCAACAAGGCCTCGAGCTTCCGCGGCGGCAAGGGCATCATCCGCGCCTGGACGACGAAGCTCCGCTACCGCGGCAAGGGCGTCGGCACCGACATGCTCGACGAGGCCGTCCGCATCACGCGCGAGCGGTGCGGCAAGGACGCCGAGGTCGGCTTCGCGCTCGAGCACGCCAACAGCCGCATGGTCATGCCCGAGTTCTTCAACGGCGTGTTTAGGAAGCGCGAGCGCTGGGCCGCCAAGACGCTCGACGGCGTGCTGGCTGAGCGGGAGCTTACAAAGAAGAAGAGGTGAAGACCGTCGACGTCGTCAGTCGTCATGTTCGTCTCACTTCTCCATCATCTACAAAAACAACAGACATTTGTTCTATCTCGTATTTGCTACTACCCATTTATTCGCAACCTTTTTTGTGTGCGTCTGCGTGTGTGTATGTGTGTTTTCTGTTGCTCCCTCTTTCTCGGACAACTAGGCGGGGACGGTCGATGGAAATTGGTTACAAATATACCCTAGAGCTGTGGGAAAGTACCCGACGGGTTAGCATAACCCCAAGGGAACCCTTCCTACAGCATCTTTCATTTTTGGTTGTCTTATTTTTCAAACGATACCCCTCGTTATATCAAACGGCTCTTTTTATTTTTATTTTTTTACTGGCGCCTCGGGTGGCGATTATACAATGTTTTGTTGTATAGAGAAGAAGGAAATCGTGGAGAGAATCAAGAGTGTGGCACCCCCCTTCCATTGAACGATGTGGAAACGCGGACCACAAGGACAAGAGACAACTAGAGGTGCAGCGTCTAGAGAGGGAAGAGGGGGGAGGTCCTTATAGGCCCATCCGTTCCCTTCCCTCCTGCTGCCTAATATAAACCCTTCGTTTGGCAACGTATCTATCCGTTCACAGTTTTCTTGGACTATGGCGTACAAAATGTGATTGAAGCCTTTCGTCGTTAGAGAGGCTCAGTACTTGGTGAGACTACCAGTGTGATGTAGTAAGGATCATACTTGGCTACTTAGACATAGCGGCCGAAGTCTGAATCCTATTAGTTATGCTCAACCATGACGTTCAGCCTCACCCGCTTACTCGAAAACCGTTTCCACTCACGATTCGATGTCAATATATTACTTAAATATCCCAACTAGGAATTACGTGGGGCTGCCGCGACATGGCTCGGACCATTTACGACTGACTGATTGCCTCGATACGCTTATCCACATCTCACTGACAAAGTTCTAGCTGGGTTTACCACAAAATCTCACTTTTTCTTTTGGCTGCCCCGTATAATGCTGAATGACTTGTTTTGGTTATGTGCCCAGAATCGAGAACCGACAATGTACGGGATTTCCATTCCTTCCTCATTCCCGAGGCCCGAATATGCGGGAACGAATCTCCAAGTCTCCTTTCCAGTCTTTCCTTCGCGGTGACAAGATATCTCTCTCTCCTCCCCCGTCGTTTTAGGCGGTCGATAGTTTTCTCACATCCCCACACGAGACTCCTACTATCATAGCCCAACGTCGGGATCCAGGTAAAGAAAGTGAGACACACACACATATCCCGTTTCCGTAGTCCTTTGTCGTCCATACTCGCTTCAACCGTAAACGCCAGAAATGCCCATACCCCATAAGACAAGTAAGAGAGGACCAAAACGTGGAAGGAGGTCCAATGGATTGCTGTGGTGATGACGCGCTTTTCTGACTGATGATGGAAATCCTTTGGCGTTTTTTTTCCCCCTTTACCAACAGATTGCCTCTGAAATGTTGAAGAGACGCAAGAGGAGGTAAACGACGAAACACTTTCAGTCCTGAATGCCTGCTGCCCTGGCCTTGCGCGACTTCGGGTCGACAAAGGTATCGGGGTCGAAGCCATAGATTGGCTTGCCCTTGCGAGCCAAGGCATGCAAGACCTGGGAAGGAGGGAAGCGTCAGATACGAATCATTCAAAAACGACACCGACCCCACCAGTAGAATCTTACAGAGGCGATGGTTCAGGGGGAGGTCAGGCTAGGTGATGAGACTTACATCGTGAATAGTGATAGTCTTCGCCTTACGATGCTCCGCATACGTCACGCAGTCTCTTAGGACCTATTTGTAACTCGTTGGCCTTTCTTCGTCAAAAAGAAAAGAGAATGAGGTGTATATGAGAGTGTATACTAACAGACTCCAGCCAAGTCTTTAGAGCCTCACGGGCGTCGTCGTAGATCATGGCGGAAATCCGCTTGACGCCGCCACGACGAGCCAGACGACTAAATGAGAACAAGCGGTCAGCTTCAGATCTATTTCCAGAAGGGATCAAGGAGGTAAGTGTAGGCGTCGTTGTGGTAGAGAGACCGGGGCAGATAAGGTGGGCAAAGCAAGTGATACTGTCGGTGACGAGCATGAAATGAGATTCGCTCGAGGAAGAGCTCAACTCAAGTTCCCCTTCATCATCCTAATCTAAGGAAACCCGAGACCACCTGCCCTCGTCCAGGTGTACCAATAGTTTTCATTCAAGAAGAAAACCTCCCGCAATCAAGGAATATAAACATACCGAATAGCAGGCTTAGCTAAAGAAGTAATCCAGGTCAGCTCTTCATATCCAAGTTGTATAAGTCATCAACTGAGTCAAGTGCAACATACTAATACCCCGGATACAATCCTTCATAATTTTTCTATTCTGCTCGTCAGCAGCCAAATTCCGCCTGCCGTAAGTGAAAAAATTAAGGTTGAAAGAGAGAACCCCTTACCGGTGTCGCTTCGCACCGGTGCCCGCATTCTGCAGCACTGTCTTGCCCTTTCCGCCCTGGTGCATCTTGGATGCGGTACCGCGCTTGCCGCCGCCGGAGCTGGAAGCCCACGGGCCACCGCGGATCGCGGGCGCGGGCGGCATAGTGAGTGATGATGCGGTTGCAGACTGCTGGAGAAGAAAAGTTTGCTAGATTTTTCTCTCGTCGGGTGAGATCGTGAATTGCCAAAACTGGGAGTTGAAGGTGAGGATTGTGGCTGGGTGGGTGGACGCGCCGCTTGAGGGCTGTTGTAATTGAGGACTTTGGGACGGCGGGGGAGTTGGCAGCGATTATGTGGGGGAATAACCGTGGGTTAAGGAGGTTTTGGGGCAGCCTTAGGGGCCTTTGAGGTACCCAGAGACAATAGAAGCACTGGATGCAGGGCAGTGGAGGTAGGTGCCTACCATTGATCCATTGGAGACAGCCCAACCCAAGGCGTGGCAGGGACGCTTCTGCCTTATCTTCTCAGTCACGTCTCGAGTCTTATCGGCGCAGCCTGGCCCGTGCAGAGCTGCCCCGTGCCAAAACACCGTAAAAACACACACCACGCACTGTAAATACTCATTGCTCGCAATGCAGGTGCAGGGAACTTGCCGGCGAATGTTTGTCATATGTCTTGTTTCAAGAGAGAAACTCTGAAGTCGGAGTCGGGGTCTATGTGATGCCCCAGCTTTTGGGTAGCTGAGAGCTGAAGCAGAGGAGCTATGCTGCCTGCGCACAATAGGTCAGGCGTGAAGCACGAGGCGAAAGCACACGATTTCCAATGACCAGAAACTCGCACAACGTATTCAGAATGTTGAAAGTGTGTATTTGTATTAGAACAGCTTTATAGAACAAGTATGCGTACCCAATTCAACGAGTGACCATAGCCCCCATCTGAACGCCTAACCAGACCGGCAACAACTACCCAAGAATTTCATCGCCGTCGTTTCATTGTCCATACGTCTATTCGGAGATGAAGGTCGCCTCGCTGAAGCAGAGACCCTCTTCGGAGATTTCTTTGTCTCCAATCTTGAGCTTCAAGGTGAGCTTCTTCTCTGTCGGGCAGTACTGTGATCGTTATTAGCTTGGTTCTTGGAGCTACTGGGGACTCGGTAAGGTAGCTTACCTGGTAGATGTATGGCTTGGTGCCGGCCGTGCCAGCTACTATCTTCTTGACGAAGCCGGGAACCTCGGCCAGTACGTCAACTCTGTCCAGCCTCTCGCCCAACGAGCCCTCAATGACACCCTCCACAGCCTTACCATCCTTGTCGGTGCCGGACCAAGTGAACTTGATCTCCTCGGGCTCAGGCCACTCGTTGACGGAATCGTTCTTCGCCTTGGTGTGCTTAGCCGTCTGGGTGACGCCGCCGTAAATCATCTCACCGTCCTTGGCGATACCGCCGACGCTGACGGTAGTCGAGCCGTACGAAGGAGGGGTGGTGTACTCCATCATGACGGCCGAGTAATTGGGGCCCTGGAAGTCGACAAAGTTCCACTTTGCCGCCGCGTGGTGAGGCTTCATGCCCTGCAGCGCGTACACGTAAAAGGCCCGGCCCTTGAAGTCAACGGCGCCGTCCTTGGTGGTGATGGTGCCCTCGGTGATGCAGCGCGGCCAGAAGGCGTGGCGCATGGTGCCCCACGGCTTCGACATGTCGGTCCCGAACAGTGTCTTGCCCGTCTTGCCGGCGTGGAAGCCGGGTGACATGCGGGTGACCTTGAGGTTGACAATGGCGTTCTCCGAGTTCATGCTCTTGATCGTGTAGTAGGTGCCGTCCTCGGACAGCTCGACGGCGCAGTCATCGGCGTAAAAGGACATCCTGTCCTCGCTCACCTCGTAGTGGCTGAGCTGTGTGGTCTCCCAGAGCGTCGGCTTCGACTTGTTGGGGTAGAAGATCTTGGCGTTGAACTGGCATGTTGTGCGGATGCCACTGTTAGAACATGGGGTCAGCATCAAGAGACAGATGTGAAAGGTACTGTAGCTTTCACATACCCAACGTTGCTGTAGATGATTTGGGCCAGCCCAAGGTGTCCGTTGTCGCCCATCAGGTAGAAGCTCTGCGTCTCAACAGAGGTCGAGTCGGCCGCAATCCATTTCAAGTCATCCTTGGTGGTCTCCGTGTGGGTGGTCGTCTTGGCCTCTTCGGCAACAGATCTGATAGCTGTTGGGCCGTAGATAGGCTCTTGGGTACCTGCCACATCGGCGAGCCTGGCAGAATCAAAAGGTTAGCCTTGGCTGACGCAACATTGAAGAACAGCAAACACTAATTACTTTTGTTGCGCCCACTTGAACATGTTGACAGCAGGACGCGTGAACGGGTGACGACGGATGGAGATGGGAGGGGTATATAGGGTGGTCGTCGATGGCGGTAAAATGCAGCAGGTCTATACACGGGTAACAGGAAAAACAAGCTTCTTGGTGGTGTTCTTAAGAGGAAAGCCGAGTTGAGAAGAAGTTGAGTTGACCGCCCCAAACAAGAACCAGCGGAGGGGCCGAGGGGTCATCCCACGACCCAATGACGGTGAAACTGTGGCTAATGCGACCAGGGTGGATCCTGCGCTCCCCCGAGCATCCCGGTCGCTTGGACCTTTGGCGCGTGGCTGGTGCTTCAAGGCTCCTAAATTTTCCACCTCCGAAAAGGTGCAGCAGCATCTGATCGATTGAAGCTTGGTTGTCTGTAGCGCGGCGCAATATACCTGCCCATCACCACCCACCCGTCACTTCCTTTTCCCAACGAGCAGACTCGTCTGTATATCCGCCACCATGTCCAAGAGAGGAGCGACGATTGCCGACCAGGTCGTGAAGCTCATCGTGGGCGCCGGGCAGGCCAGCCCGAGTCCCCCAGTTGGTCCTGCGCTGGGTAGCAAGGGTGTCAAGTCGATGGATTTTTGCAAGGTGAGACTTGCCCTTGGGACTCTGATGAAGCAACACATGCCACTCTCTGCCCAACATCTGTGCTTTTAAGGGGGCGGTTATGCCATGGTTGAGATCAATGCTAACGTGTCTTTGCTCAATCGATAGGAGTTCAATGCAAGAACAGCACACATCATCACCGGCACGCCGATGCCTTGTCGAGTTACTGTCCGAGGCGACCGATCATTCCACTTTGACATTCGCACACCTCATACATCTTGGCTTCTCCTCAACGCCGCCGAGGTGCCGGTCGGCAAGAAGGGCAAGCGGAAGGGCGCAACGAACCCCGGAAAGGAGACGGTCGGAACTGTCAGCTTGAAGCACGTCTACGAGATCGCCAAGATCAAGCAGACCGAAATGCGTCTATCGGGTCTCAGCCTTGAGGCCATCTGCCGCTCCGTCATCTACCAGTGCAAGTCCATTGGTATCAACGTCGTGCCATAGAGCACGTGTCCTGCAACAGTTTATTTTCAACCACGTATACCAAAAACGGAGTCAGGCGCGGAAAGAAAGCATCCACTTGTATACCATCTCAAACGACGAAGAGCGTGCCCATGTACAATTATTGGAGGATCGAGGCGAGGCAAGGTTAGAATAGCAGACAGGAGGTACTGTACGATGAGAATCTCAACCGCCAAGCAAAGGCAGAGCACGGCGACAAAAAAAACGTTCATACACTAGCGCCGCGTGGTCGGAACATGGCACGCCTGAAGGGATGCTTCATGCGCCCCAGAAGTCCCAACTGAGCAGTGACGTTGAACATATGTCTCGTTTTGAGGCGAAGTCCGTTCTCACGCTTCTTCTTGCGCACAGTAGTACGTGTACGACATCCGTCCGTGGGGGACCGAAACGACTAGCCGTCTGGCCGTTATCCAAGAATTCGGAAGGGAAGAATCGACGTAGAAACAAAAGATTATGACAAAATGCCAATGATCGATCGCACGCCTGCTTGAGTAAGACGCAGAGCGGATTGGATCACGACCCGCCAGAACTCTGTATGTCGAATTGGGATGGTGTGAGGGGAAAGCCTCATTGTGCAGTTGTGAACCACAGGATTGGGGGATAATTGACAAGGTCGTTCCAAAGTCAGATGCGCGATCAGCGGTCTAGAACAGACATGCAAGCGGCAAAGCCAGCACATCAGTGGAGAAGAGAGGGCTCAAAGTCACCCGAAGTTTCGCAATCGAGATCGACAAAACTGTTGAGACTGGAAGCTTACACGTCTTCCTCCTCGTCGTTGGTGAAGCGTGTTGTAGACAGTTCCTTCCATGTCTTATGATGCGAAGCTTCCTACAAGAAGCTTGCGCAAGAAGGTACTTGCTGTGCAAGATTGGGTAACGGGTCCAGGTAGCGGGTGCTTCAGTTCCGTCGGCGGAGGCCCGCTGGTTGCGACGAAATGCAGGCTCAGATCTAGACAATGCCAGGGTAATGCCGATGGAGATTTGCCCACCTGGTGCCCCTGGAAGGCCCTGGAAGGCGGTCCTCGTTTGCAGCGTGCCTGGATAGAGGGTTCCATCAGCAGCAGCCTGTCATCTGCAAGAACGCCTCCAAGCCTCGTCAGTGTGGGACCGATTCGAAGCCGGTGATGTGACGGAACAGTAGCCGTTTTCATGCTGCAGGTGCAACACATCAGCAACCACGCCACTGTGCTGGAGCAGCTGGGCTCGTCTGTCTGGGACCGGAGATGCGGCGGTGTTCGTAGGGCGGAAGGGCGGGACGAAGGCAGGCCAGTTAAGGTACGTCTCGGCATGTGCTCTGAAAGTCTGTCTCGGGCTAGCGGGCAGCTGGGGAAGATGGAGAGCCAAGCTCCGTCTGTTCCAGTCCATCACTCCATCCTAACCACCGTCTTAACTCTTGCTTGCCGGAAGCTGACAGAGAGCTGGACCTCACGGCTCGTGTCAGCCGGTGAGTGACGAGGTTCTCGTTTGGTGGGCCGTCGGATATGCATTCAACCTTCCCAGAGGTAATAGGTAGGTAATTTATTGTTCGTTTGTTGAAGCCTGAAGGAGGGCGAAGACGACTTGGGATTGGTGTGCTTTTGTTTCCTGGCGGGCTTGACTCGTTCGTCCCGGTCTAGACAAGAGGTGCATTGTCGAATAATCTGGCGCGCATTGGCGTTCGTTGACCCTGTGGACGGGTATGCCCTGGTTACCGTCGGCGGAATGAAGAGCCTGAACCAAAAGAAAAGATTTTCAAGAGGCGCGAGAAATT